TCGGTTTTTATAATTAGCACAGATTGTCCTTTGGAAAGATAAAATTAGGCCCATCTACTTGATAAGATCACAGGCTATACCCAAATATACAATTGCCGTCATGCCTCAATAGTTAAAGCAAGCCTTTATTTGAAATAACTGCTACGCTTATCTGCGAATCTCTCTTCAAGGATGTTTTACCATGACGTGCCTATTCTGCTTCTATCGAAGAGCTGATTATTCTGTTAACTCGATATTCTCGATGCGGTCCATTGCTCATCTTATGGCTTGTTGACAATAAAGAAAAGAAGACGGTCCTAAGATTAAGGTGTCCCAAGGTCTCCCTCAATTTGGTTACCAGTTGAGTTTTGTTTACGAACGCTTAAAAATTCATTCTATCACAGTCTGAAAGTGAGTAATATCCTCCCAATCAGGAAGTCGACACGGCATGTTCTTGAGATCACCTCATTCCAACTCCTCTAGGAATGGATGTCTCCGAGACCTAATTACAATTGAGCCGACAAGAATTCCTCACCATTTTGGTACATGAGTTTGAATACAAATGGGTCTCCTGAAGACTGACCGTCTGCGTTTCCTTGTGATTTATCGGGATCAGCTAACCAGCAAACTCTCCACGTCAATATGTTTCAAGACTCTCGATAATCTGCTTCCAAATAATTCGTTATTTCCTTAGGTCTCTTGAGGCTATTTTAGAGTAGATAGTTGAGCTTTTCCATTATGAAAAAACTAATTTATCAGACTTTCAATAATCCGAATCACTTTTCACTCTGGCTATTCCGCTGTTATCAGCCCAAATTCGTCTGTGTTCTTGTCCATTTTTGTCCCCATCCGTCCAACTCCCACTCATTCTGTACTCTTTCATTCTGTTATCTTTTGCCTCTGGATACTAACACCAGGTGTTGTCTATCTATTCGTTTTATTAGCAATTCACATTGTAAAAACTTCCAGTGAAATTGAATTATCACTTCTAAATCCTCTTTCATTAGCACTTTTATGGCTTTTATGTGTATGCTATTGTTCTACTTCTCTATTTGAATTCCAATAAAAAATGAAGTTGCGATCTGGTAAGTCAAAATATTTGTATTGTTTCATTCGGCAGACTTATCTCCTTAATTCCCATTGCAAATGTCTGCGTTGGCGGATATCAGGCAATGTCTGCTCCCGACCCTGGATAACTACAGGTGTCATGTTATAAAGGCGTCACTGGAGGCTGGACCGATGAATTTGGTATCTAAGGCCAAAATTTGGTCGACGGGCATACACCAGAACAAGGATTACAACGGACATTGAAACCTTGTCTCTTTCTCTCTCTCTTTCTACACTTAGCTCCTATACCTCAGACTAAACGCCTAGTCTTTTGAGTCAAATCCCACTGAACTGCCGTGCTTGTCTGCAATGATTTGGAAGGCCTAAGCGCCCTTTCGTCTACAGTTTATGCATCAAACAGCTGCGGTTTACCTCAAATCTAGGCTTCTCTGTACTCAATGCCCCCTAAGGCCCCACCTTTTGGGCCTCGGCCGACCACCCCTTCCCTTGAGAAGCATCTTCTTCGCCTTCTCATTGGGGCTCACTGTTGCTCTCCCACCGGGCAACCGGATTAGCCGGCCAGACGGTCAGCAATTTTCGATTAATCTTAGCGCCATTATCACCGCTTCCCCTGTCTGCCATACATACATGCATACAAAATAGATAAATGTAGGCAAATTGTTTGTGCGTCCGTTTGTGGATTGGCCTAGTATATGTAACTACTTGTCTGCATGGATGTGTTTGTATGCGCTCGTGACCTTCCGTGACCAGCTGTCCAACTCCGGTGACCCATGAAGCAATGGCCTCGGTTCTTTCCTCTCGTCACATTGTCCCCTTCGAGCTCAGTCTTTTCCGGCCTAGTTCGTGCCTGTTTCTTTCTTTTACCTCAGGTAGATGTGGCCATGGTTACACTCATATACAAATAAAAGTATATAAACACTCCACAAGGTATCAATATGCTATATACACCGATATAATCTGTGGGCACATAGACTAGCCTTGTGTAGCAATCATTCTAGCACTATAAGCAAATTCATGTTAAAATTAAGGTTCGTTATTCAATTTGCAATCATTGTTAACTGATAACCATGCAGATACAATAAGAATATCAATCGAGATCATGAAATGTATGTCAAGAACGACTATATCAGCCTTACAAAATGGGCAATTGCCTGAAACTATGAAGCCAAATGTGTTGGTTTCGGATAAATGCTTTACTTCCTGACGCTGGCCTGATTGTGTAAATAAATAATCTGCAGTTATCAAGCAGAGTGATTACACTTTTAAGTAGTGAGCAGGGAAGGCCAAGATGAAAGTTTGCTTTGTAGAAGATTTTCACAGTCATTTCTATTATAGTATGATTGACTTAAGCTCTAACTCATATACATCACCTC